ATTCTCAAACCACAAGGGCTTAAAAAAAAAAAAAAAAAAAAAAAAAACGACAAATAGGTTCCTCGTTCTCAGCTTTTTGTTCAAACGAGGTTTCTTTGCATGTGTAATAACTAGGAACCAAATCAGCACTTACAGTTAAAATGGCCCTCTATCCAAACCTTATTCTCTTGGATTACTTTAAACACATTCCTGCAAAACTGGAGTGCTTTGAGCCAAGACACTAGGGTATCTTACCAGAGTCAGCCCACCGAATGTCAGCATTGTCGGTACGATGTTTATCAGCGTGTTCATGATGACTCGAAACCTACAGCAAACGATTCATTACACCACTTCCCACGAGGAGGCTCTGTTAAAGCCCTTGCTTATCTTCCCATCCCATCCAGCAAGGGATCCCCCAGTGTACCCATTTATTATGACAGTTTTCAGAGAAGCTGCAGCACCTCAGCTCATCCCAGGCACATGCAGACAAGGTCTTGGGGATGTTTGAGTAGCCACAGTCAATGCAAAGCAACCCTGCCAGGCAATGCAAGGAACCATCTCCCAGCTACTCTCTAAGGCCTATCCCACAAATTTATCCCTTTGCCATTCTGATTGTTACCTTTGAATGCTATCAACAATCCTTATTAGCCTGAGGACCCTTAATATGAAGACAATGTCCAGAATTTGTTGGCTGTTGTACTCTGTAGCTGAGAAAGGTAAACAGATTATTTTTCAGAATAAGTAAATAAAGCAGGGAACTATGGACTTCAAACATTAGTAAGCACTATCTATTTGTGCAATAGGTAGCCAAAGACTCCCCAAAACCTACCTCATCCTCCCCACCAAAACTTCCCAGAGCCTAAGTTAGTTCTTAGAAACCCTACAGAAAATTCCTTGACCTTTCTACAAGCTTCCCAAGCCCAAGATGATTGCAGAAGAGCAGTCTTAAGACCACCAGGTTTCCCAAATGCATGCAGGTTTTTTAAACTGCACTTACTCGATTTTAGAGTGGTGTTGAGTATTGTTGCAGTCAAGGCAGCAAAGATGATCAGGGTATCAAACCTAGCACGAGGGAAGGGTAGTGCTGTTGGATTTGTGGGCAGCATAGAATGGACTTTTAGCTGCCACACGACAGATGAGTAGTGACCCCTGTCCCTATATCTGCACAGGACCGTCTTGTTTCCTCTTGGATTTGCAGGACAGAGAGGTGGGAAAGCTCTTAGTTAACCAAAACTCACTCCCCTTGCCCAGCAGAAGGGAATGTTGTTCACATACCACAAAGGCATCTTTGTTAAGATAGCGGATCCAGGTCTTTTGTCACCTAGAGGTCAGAGATGACAAGGGAAAGCTCTGAGCTAGCAGAGGGGACAGAGGACAGAAGTCCTCTGCAAAGAGCACATTTTCATCTTGTGCTCACAGTCGTTTCAACTACACCTTAACACGAGTTGTCTCAGTCAGCTAATCTCCCTCAAGAGACTTGCAGTTCTTGACCAGCAGAACCTCTTCACTTAGCACTGCCTTCACAACAGCCACCCAGCCCACTCACCAGTTCCAGAATTGGTTTTTGCCAAAGAACGTCCTTGGTTCGTAAGTATACACTTTCAGGAGTATCTCAATTATATACAGTGCAAGGAAGACCCACTCTGCATAGGAAATATAGGGGCTTTCCTCATCCAAAGCAATGAATATAGCATTTATTAGAATGATGACATCGTAAGTCCAAACAAATCCCCTGCAGGAAAAGAAAGAAAAAGGAATCAGTCTGCCACTCCCAAGGTCAATATTAGGGTTAATTCAGAGTTCTCTTCACCTCCTCCCTCAGGCAATGCCATTTAGAAAACTTTCTCAACCAGCCCATTCTTCCTCAAACTGAGGGTTTAGGAGAGTTGCTCTGGACTTTAGTTTTGCTCTTGACATCAACACTGAAAACAGCGCGTGCCTTCAAGGTATGCAACTGTGTTTCTCAATGTTAAACACACACTCTTAAATACTGACTGCAACTGAATTTTCACCAAGTCAAGCAGTACTTTTTTCAAGCAGAAAGACTGGACAAGTGAATCAAAAGACTGAAAAATATTAGGAAGAGTGGTTGATAAACCAGTTAGAGTTTTGCCATTCAGAGAAGACACCCCAACACGCTAAGGAAATGGGTAGACCTGAATCTCCTGATTTCAAAGAGAAATGCAAAGTCCTGCACCTGCAGAGAAATAACCTCCTACACCAGTACAGGCTGGGGACCAGCTGCCTGGAAAGCAGCTCAGCAGGGATGATGCTGGGAGTCTTGCTAGGCAAATTAAACCACGAGCCAGCAAGGCATCCTTGTGGCAAAGGAGGCCAAGAGCCTCCTGAGCTGCATTAGGAAGAGCATTGCCAGCAGCTCAAGGCAGGCAGTCCTCACCAACTGCTTCCCACCAAGGAGACCATATCTGGACGCTGACACACTGAGGTATCTACAGCATGTCACCCAGAAGGGCATTTGCTTGCTACACCACTGCTCTGCAGCCCTTTGGGATATCAAGAGCCACTTGCTCCAGGAGCACAGCCTTACCTGTGCCTAACCATGCTGCGCAGAAACTGGCTTGCTGCTGAGTTGTAGAGATGAGGCATCCATCGGGCCAGCGGATGCCTGCGTATCTTGAGGGTGATCACCTGGATGTTGAGGAGATCTGCCAGGCGTACAAAGGATTTTTTGTCTGCAGTAGGGAAGAGCAATGAACATCAGTCTGCATTCATAACAAAAGTGACCGTGACCTGCAAATGTAAACCTGCCTGCACACAAGCTGCAACGGTTTAGTCTCAAACTCAGGACACCACATATTGAACTTAATTCTTGGCAGTTCCTCTGTCCCACTCCTGGCAGACTGGCTCAAGCTAGAGCCCAAGAGCCCACACAAGGCTTTCGTGACCAGGGTGAGTAGGATCTAGAATGAGGAGACTGGCCCATCATTCCTGATATCCTGTCTCCATCAGGAGCAGAGAAAGAAACTCCAGAAGAGCATGTGGGACACCACATTGCTCAGAAGAGTCTGCTAATAAGGGAGAGCCCTGAGAATGGGAGCTGCCACAGTCCATGGTCAAACCTGCCACGTGAAGAGCTGCCCACAGTATACCCAGCACTGTCTACAGCATCAAAATAAAAACAAACAAAACAAAAACCACACGACTTTTCAAAACTTGAACGCTCTGGATAGGGAAGCAGGAAGGGAGCCCTGAAGTCCCTCTAGGTCCATTAGAGGGCACAGGTCTCTTTGGCAGACCCTCTGAAGCACCCGGCTCCTGACCCCAACCTCCTTCCCAACATGTGGGCACAGCAGGCCCCTGCTGCTCACCTATGAAGCCCTTCTGCTCATCATCAGATATGTGCAGCAGCAACTCTCGGTGGGAGTTGCTGATATCAGGAGCCACCAGTTTGACAAGCTGCTTCCACTGGGCTTCTCTAACTACAAATTCGGCTCCCTCCTCTTCCTTCAGGAGGTTGAAGGCCTCTACCATCTTGCGGCGCTTCATGTAAGCAAGCTTGCGGATCTCATTCTAGAAAGAATTTCAGGATTCAGACAGCTTCAACCCCTCTTCCCCCTCCTTTGCTTTTTCATCTTGTTTCCATGCACAGCGATGCAAGATGAGGCCCACAGGACTACTTTTGGAGAGATATTAGGCACTACGTACAGCACAATCAGTGGGGTGAGGGAAGTGCAATTTAACTGGCAACAAGAGCATTCTGGAGATTACTAGATCCCTTGCTGCTGGAAGATGCAAGGAAAACTGGAATAAAACTGCAAGACATGATACAAAGGATGCCGCCTAGCAGAAAGAAGATATGGGGGAATATCTTTTAAAAAAATTGTTCAAAAAAATAACATCACAAGAACTGCATGGCCTCAGGTCACAGAAGCAAAGACATTGCATCCACATGTGCTGCCCATCCATAAAGATGGAAATTTGTTTAAGCCTCTGGACACAAGTACTGCACTGCACTCGCTCAAGGCTGAAGTAGTGAGAGTTCTGATTTATTCAGACCTCACTTTACACTTCCTTTCCTTTAAGGACTTGCTCACTGGCACAGGAGCACTGTGTGCTTACAGTCAGCTGAGAACAGTCCTCTGCACAGAGACAGAGTTTTCTGTCCCTTGATACAAAAAGTCCATCTGTGCTTGCCATTTGCAGAACTCCAGCAGAGGCCAGAAACCAAGCATCTATTCAAGAGCTGTTCCATGTTTTCTAGAAGCAGAGGTTTTCTACAGGAAAGCAAGGTGCCTGCATACAAAGTTATACAAAAAAGGTAGGCAGCTGCTGGTGACTATTCACCCCTCCATACATTACCTTTAGGTGCTTTCTATAGTTGTTGTACACAACAGCCAGGAAGACAGACATGAAGATATAGGTGTTGATGATGACATAGGTAATGAAGAACAGTGCATACCACCAGCTGAAGTCAAATGCTGGCATCCTAAAGAGAGGGGAAAGATTACTGCTTGTAGAACAATCAGAAATAAAGTCACTTCTGGAAAATTGTCTTCTAAATGGCTTTCAAAGTACTGGTTTGGATCGCCAAATAATACTTCATCTCTGAACGGAAGAATCTATTAGGTAACTTAGAATTTTCTTCTGCTCACTCTTCATCCTGTATTCTTTAGTCCCATTTTGAGGAGGTACAAAAAGCAGAGATGCTAAATCTAGCCTGACATAAGCTTAAGTGCAGAGGCTTAAAGCAAGGTCTTAGCCACAAGTTGGTGAATTATTGGCTTTGCAGACCCTCACTGCAATGTTGCACTCAGATCTCCACTTCCACCCAGCTCCAGGAGAAGTGGCTGTGTCTCACTCCAACACCCAGGGTGCAAGCAGCATCCCCCAGTTCCGTTCAGCACATCTGCAGCATCCAAGCAACTGCATTTTTGAGGGCTCTTTCACATTACAAATTGAAATAGCAACCAAGTTTGAACAAATAAAGATGGAAGGCTCATGCTGTACATAAACTCAACTGTGCACATTGAAACTGCACAGGGCACTTGCAAATATTATGAGACAAAAAGGCATATAGCCACTAGAAAACACTCTTCCTTAAAAAAAGGGAGAAAATAAATACAAAACAAAAACCACTCGATCAAAGTTTTGGCAGGGCCAAAGTTTGTAGGGCCTCAGGTTTGAGCCTTTATTAGCTATCGAGTTATTTGAAAAGCAAGTTTTTCAGCACACCTTTTCCAGTTGTCTTCCTAACCTCACCGTCTGGTTCAGATTCCACTTATAGAGCAGGAAGCTGACAACTCAAAGCCACTACAGGTTGGAAAATAGAACACATACTGCCACTCCAAAAGAAGTTACTGAGCCAAATAGAATTGTTCTAACTAGGGATCCTGCCTGGATGTGCCAGGGCCATGCACAATGGTCATATTACTAAGCAAGTACTGCAGATGCATTCACACACACACACACACGCTGAAAGCTCGGAGAACATACATGACATCCGGGCTGTTTGCTGTTGTCACTAGCACATACAGATCAAACACAATTTCCAGGTAGTTTGTAAAATATGGCAAGCCTTCTGCTGTCTGAAGATTCCTAGGAGGAAACAGACAACTCTAATTAGAGAGGCCACATATCCCACCCCACAACTGCAGGGATCAGCAGTGCTCATATTCAGATTATAGCTCAGAGCTATTAGATGCCCCCCTACCCCAAAGCATCACACCCAGTATTCCCAACCCACTCTGGGCAGAAAAGGATTCATACCTCTCACCAAAAAGCTTCAAGGCCATGAGGGAGAACATGAGAACACTGAACATGAAGAGCAAGAAAACATAGGTGATCTCCGGGAACGTGTTGCGGATGCTGCGAAACGCTCTTCGAATCTGCCGGGGTAATGGGAGTTTAGAAATGTGGCAGTAGCTGCTTTTCCCTTCCCACCTACACAGAAAAACCTGCACAGGGACAGACAGACAAGGGGATGCAGGAACTCCTCTGCAGCCCAGCAGGAGAGATTCTGACCTGGACATACCAGTTCTGTTCTGCAAAAGCCCTTCCTCTTAACTTCTCAGAGGAGAGGATGGAAGGAGACCCAGTCTTCATACCACTGGGAACTCAGCTAGCAAAGGGACAAATTCATCTCCAGGGACGAGACAGACCAGAATCTCTAGGCCACCAAAGCCAAGCTCAGAACATGAGAGTTCAGTTGTTCCCTCCTCCAGGTCTCCACACCACAGTAGTTTATTCATGACAAGGCAGGACCAAAACAGTCTTCAGCAACAGGACAAGTTGTCCTCACGACAAGAGGAATCAAAGTCCAGGCAGCCTGTCTAGACTGGGAACTCAGTTTCCAAGCACAGCAACACACTTGAGCCTGTTTGCCTAGAAGGATTCCAGAAATAAGTAACTCGACCCTGACCAGGACAGGATAAAAGCAGCCCCAGTCCCCAGCAAATTCACCCTGTGTTGGAGAAGCAGTTTTCTTGCCCACAATGCTGCTTATTTTCACTCATTTCAAGGATAGTATCTAACTCTGCTTAGAGATAGAGGCTGCTCTTCCACACAGGCTGGAGGGGAAACTCCCTTCCTTACAGGAAACACGCTTCCTTCTCTGCTAATTTTCACCGAGCACGACCTTACCCCATGCATGCCCTGCACCACGCACTTCCCTCCAAAAGCCTTCCTCACCTGGCGACTCTCTGCAAAGTTGATCAGGAAGATGGGCCTCACTATTCTTGACCAACGAACACTCCTCACATTGTATATCCTGAGGGCTCCAAAGACAGCCAAGTCTATTAGAGACATCTTAAAAAAGAGAGAGAAGTTACATTCTCTGAAGCAGACTTATAAACATATCCAGATGACAGCAATGTTAGCTAGTAAAACGCATACACACAGAACAGGGGCAAACAGGCTGAGGTGGAGGTTGAATTGGCTTTGGCTCTTGTGGATCTGATGCACAATATAAGTTGAATTAGCTTTGGCTCTTGTGGATCTGATGCACAAGGACTCTTCATTGCCAGGAAAGCAACAGGAAGAAAAGCACCTCGGCACTGACCACCTCAACCCTGGTGGGTATGTAGACCTAACTCACCAGGATTGCAACCATGACACAGATGTTCTTGGTATCCTTCCAAAATATGTTGCGAGGAGTGACTTTCGCAAAGTGCATGAGCCGGACAGAGAACACCAGAAGGCACAACACTTCCATCAGAGATGCAGCCTACAGAGAAAGGAAAAAAGAGATACTGAGTCAGGACAAAGGAGTGCAGTGCTAGATCTCTTCACAGAGATGAGGGTGCAGAAAAACAGTCCTGAGGGCAATACATTACTTTTGCTTTGAGATACAAGGACTAGACTTGCATTAGGCAGAAGACTGATGTTGTTTTCCAAGACAAAGAAAAGAAGTGTCACTTTTACTCATGGTCACATCTGCCACAGATGATGTCAGTAATGGCAGCCATGGTTCCTACTGCGTTACTATGCCCATTCCCCTCCCCTTGCATTTCCAGTAGATCAAAACTATCAAGGGGAAAATCATTATCAATTCTCCCTTGACATCAAGACAAATCCTTAACGTGTTCCAATGTGCAACATGGCAGTAGCTGTGTTCCTGCTACCACACGGCCTGAAGACTTACCAAGAAGGGAAGCGGATACACAGCAGGTTCTTCAAACAGCACAAGGGAAAGGTTGAGAAAGATGAAGAAATAGGTGGTTGCTTGCATCGCCCAATGGTTATAAAGGTAGTAAAGCCTGCGGAAAGAAGGCAGTAGCACCATTAGCCATGGATTCAATGCACATACCCAGGGACTCAGAATATTCTTCAGAGATCCCTTTTCTAAGTAGTTAATATTGCAAGGAAGGATAAGGATACCAGTGCTGCAAGGAGGACAGGGAGAGGTTTACAAGTTTTTGCCAGCTGAGAGCTCCTGGTGGAAACCATCATATTGTCCTCGTACAATCTCAGATTGACTGGGTTGACTCAGGCTTGCCAGATCTCAGCCAGGGGCTAGGGCCCAGCATCTAGCCCCATTAGCTTGTTTTTTCCCCCTGGTCCTTCCTTCCACTCAGACAGTCCCTATACTCCTTTTCAGGAAACATAAAAGGCAGAAAGAAGAAGCACAGGTGCTCTTCTGTTGACTTTAAGTTCGAAAACATATATTTTTTTTCCTCTAATTACCTTGCTCCTTAATTTGAGTGCAGACTTCTGCAGAGGTCAGAAAGCCACATGATACACAAACCAAGCCCGATTAAATATTTAACCTCTTTTCTTTGCAGGTTAAAAAGCAGAGAGACAAGACAAGCCACCACAGAGAGGCACAGAGATACCAAGTAATCTATTTTTAATACATAAATCAAGAGGCCCCAAAGCAGCAAAAACCCCAGGGAATATTTGCATTAACCGTGAACACATCCAGTGCCGAACTCCCCACAGGTTTCACACTACAGTACACAACAGGGGTGCCTCTTTTTTGTGAAAAAGCTCTTGTGGAAGCACTTGCTGTTTCCCCGCTGATGTAAAGGCCACCAGCATGGCCAAGGAATCACCTCAGCTTCCCAAGAGGGACGTTTTGGGGCGTGCAGGGGGATATGGCAACACCGTTATGATAACGGCGATTGGAAAAACAACCGATTCCTGCAGCAAGGGCTGCCCCAGGCGCCTCCAAGCCCCGCTGCGGCCGCCGAAGCTTCGCGAGCGCAGAGAGGAGCCGGCTAAAGGGCAGGCCGCGAGGGCAGCC